AAAAAAAAAAAAATTAAGTAGTAGTTATGTAGTATATTCTTTGTGAGACATTTTCTCTTTCGGTTCGTTACTGAAATCTTCTTAATGATGACCATGGACTTGCTCATATAGCTTATTTATTTTATGAATCTGGGTTATATAATTATTTACAATAAGTTACAAAGATATACATGAATTGTAGAATATAATATTCCGGAGCGCTACTGCTCCTTTCTCGTTCATACTTTCTCTCTCATAGTCCAGCTAATACTACATTCAAGCTAATGCTCACTCCAAACTGATACTAACTAAAAATCCTCTTTCTCACAAGAAAAAGTCCTTCGCTCCACCCCCAATGTAGGGGGACGGCACTCCCCGTGTCCCTTTCCTTCTGACCCTCAGGTCAGGGGTCAATCAAATGCGTGGGAGAGAAATCAGGATCCTGACACCTCCCCCCCGGTTTAATCTAGTTCGACCTTCTTTCCTGGTCGTACAAGTGAAACCTAAAAACAATGCAAGCCCATCCCTGCACCAAAAAACAATAACACGCACACCTACCAGTGCGCAAAAGAGATTGGCCTCCTTATACACCAATAAACATAAAATTACACTTAACAAACTAATAAATACAAAATCAAAACAGAATATAAAAGCACCTAATATTTTTGCAATCAAAACATTAAAATCACTTTTATCAGGTCAAAAATAAAATATCCATGCCAAAATCTCTTTATCACATTCCATAAAAATAAAATCCTTAAAGTCATGTCCAAAATCCCTACCAAAAACAAATAGTAGTAATTAGCATACAAAATTAAACGTCCAAACTGCCCAAATGTCCACTCTTTCAAGTGCATCGACCTAATCCCCTCAAACAAATCACTTTCCCTAGTACTCCCTTTATGATTTCTTAAGTGGCTAGCTAACTCTTTTGCTCTATTTTTCCTTTCAGAACCCCCTTTCTGAAAACAAACCCTTATTCTCACCTGCACCTTACGGGTTTTAATGCTGATATTGGGAGTGTTCGCATTCGCAGCTGTGTACAACTCCTTCTTAGGTTACTTAAACAATTTTTCTCTCCTTGCAAACCGCAGAAGTTTAGATTCAATCGCGCCTTCGCTATCCCCCTTTCTTTTCTCATAGGACAAATCCTCCCTCTTCAGCGCGTTAATTGGACTTTTAACCTTCACTTCAACCCCTTGTTGACCACAAACCTTTCTGCCTTTAAAATCCTCCCTCCCTTCCTCTAAGATTCCTTCAAATTCGGAGCTCTGCACCTGCTCCTTTTTAAGTCTTTGGCTATGAGAAAAGGGTGATTCCTTATCTTCACCCCCTACTTTCTCCCTACGCTTGGGATTCATTAAAATACTTGGTGGATCTTTGTCCTCACCCCCACTTGACTTTCTCTCCAACACCTCGAGGCCCCCCGGAGTGATTCGCACTCCTCTCCTGTCGGAATTCTCGCCATCAAGGTCAGTGTCCTCTGTCTCAATCCCCTTGTTCCTTTCTTGTTCTTTTCTCTCAGAACAGATCATATCTTTCTCCCACTCTTTTCCCCACCGTTCATCCCCTGCATTTTCAAGAGCCTGCTCCTCTAATAATTTAAACTCCCTGGTTATAGCCATAGTCTCATTTTCACTTTTGATCACTACTGGGATTTTCCTTCCCCCATCCCACAGTTACTAGGAACATTGCTGAGCTTTTCCTCTACAGCAGGGCCTATCTCTGAACTTAAAAAGATCCATCTCCCAATCTCAAAATTTACTTCAGGATCTAAAGATTGCCTTAATACGCTTAATTTAGGAACACTGTATATTATTTTTGAGAAACAAGACTTCTCCTCAACCACCTCGATTCTACACAAATCCGATTTGTCTTTCTTCACCCTCTTTTCGTGACTAACGCGTTCTACGGAATCTTGCTTAGCCTGATCTTTCTTCTGATCTAACCTAAATCTATTAATTTTCGGACACCCCCTCTTTAAGTGTCCTACCTCTCCACAGTTATAACATTTCGGGGACCATTCTCCTGAGCTAGTACTATTTTTTCTTAGCGATTCACGCGGTAACTTACCCTTTCTATTAACATTTGGACCACTCCATTCAGGAAATCGTCTTACCCCACCCTTCACATTCACCTCCTTTCCTTCAAATCCAGAATCAAATTTTCGGGACTCCGGCCTCTCCTCTGACTCCACGGCGCCTAAATCTCCCACCGATCCATTTAAATTGACAAAGGGCTTAAAATCCTGTGTTTTACTTTCCTCATCCTGGTCCGTCATTAAAATTTCTGTTAACCGCTCAATCCCTAGTATAGTACATCTTATCCACTCATGATCATATTCCCGTTCTCGTTTTAACCATTCCAGTTCACGTATCCTTCTATGCAACTCCCGTTTCCTACCTTCTCTTAATTCTCGTTCCTGCTCTTTTTTCCTCTTTATTTTATCCTCGCGTTCCCTATCTTCTTTTAATTTTTGTTGCTCTCGTTCCCTATCTTTTAATTTTTGTTTCTCACGTTCCCTATTTTCTGTTAATTTTTGTTGCTCACGTTCCCTATCTTCTCGTAATTTTTGTCTTTCTCTTTCCCGCTTCTCTCGTTCCCGCTCCCATTTCCTTTCCCACTCCCGTTTCCGCTCCTCTTTTTCTAATCTCTCCTCTTCAATCCCACTCCAAACATCTTTAGTAAATTGTTCGTCGTAATCTGAATCTTCGGTGATTAATTCCCTTATCTGGGTAAGGTTGGCGTTCTCGGGAACCGTCTCCAACAAGTCCTTAGCTAGAACTATCAAATCTTCCCTGTTTAGTTTTGCAAGAAAACTCATACTGACCGTATTAACTTAACTTCCTAATCACAAAAATAACTATTGATATTTAAAAATAAAATGTAAACAAAACAAAATCTTAGCGACCCATTCTATTCCGATCCCCTACTCATCCCCCGGCATTCTATTATTACACCTAACGCATCATACGTAAACAAAACATATACAACAAAATTCATATCTTGCAATATTCAAAACATGCAATATTCAAACATAACTCCTTCATACACATAAATACAAATTACTCTTTTCAACCTTCATTGCAAAATAATAAAATATCGTACCCTTTTGGTACGCCTAGAATATACACCTTTACTTTCCCTAAAATTAAAACTCTTAAATTTCATAGATTCTACAGTCATAATAATTAACCATTTCATCATTTAAACAAAAGCAAACACCTTCCTTGACCCTTTTTCCGGTCCAAAATTATTTTAACAGAATGCCTTATAAATAATAATCACTACTAAATAATAATAAACCAAGAACCTTGTTTACTCAGCTCGCTATTGACATATAAAAACACAATCTTAAAATAATCCAACACTTTTTACAAGCTATTGAATCAATACTCTTCTTCTTTCATATATACTCTTAATAAAGCAATAAAAAAAAATTACACTCTTAACAAGCCAACACACTAAGTTACTTAAAAAACAATCAAATCATTTCTTATTATACTTATCAATAATAATCATACTCATTAATCACACAAACAGTACTATAGCTAACTGGCCAATCCCTTAAGCTCAAATAAAATAACCCATCAGGTTGACTTTAAACCAAAACAAAATAAACTTATCCCCTTAACTAACTACCCTTTTTGTTGAACTTCTACCCAGAAATGTGAGCGTGTAATTTCTCTTTTCATGCATGGGATAAAGCTTACCTCCCTTTATCTTTTCAATTGTCCTCTTTGGCAGAGAGTCGATGTTGAANGGGGGGGGGGGGGGTAGCTTTGACTTCCTGTCGCCTCCGGCGATAATAGTCCCTTTCCAGTACCGCCTCTTCAACTCCCGTCGATGTTGTCAGTCCGCAGTGACCCTTTCCTTCAGGCAATCTTTCCAATCTTTTTCACTAGGAACTTATAGTAGGCATCGGCGATGATTCTTTTCACTAGCATAGCAGTCCTCCTTCCATGCTGGCGAGGATCCTGTCGCCCTGCGACAATTTGTGAGACATTTTCTCTTTCGGTTCGTTACTGAAATCCTCTTAATGATGACCATGGACTTGCTGATATTTATTTTATGAATCTGGGTTATATAATTATTTACAATAAGTTACAAAGATATACATGAATTGTAGAATATAATATTCCGGAGCGCTACTGCTCCCTTCTCGTTCATACTTTCTCTCTCATAGTCCAGCTAATACTACATTCAAGCTAATGCTCACTCCAAACTGATACTAACTAAAAATCCTCTTTCTCACAAGAAAAAGTCCTTCGCTCCACCCCCAATGTAGGGGGACGACACTACCCGTGTCCCTTTCCTTCTGACCCTCGGGTCAGAGGTCAATCAAATGCGTGGGAGAGGAATCAGGATCCTGACACCTCCTCCCCCTGTTTCATCTAGTTCGACCTTCTTTCCTGGTCGTACAAGTGAAACCTAAAAACAATGCAAGCCCATTCCTGCACCAAAAAACAATAACACGCACACCTTCCCGTGCGCAAAAGAGATTGGCCTCATTATACACCAATAAACATAAAATTACACTTAACAAACTAATAAATACAAAATAAAACCAGAATATAAAAGCACCTAATATTTTTGCAATCCTGACATTCTTAATGAATGTTCTTAATTTTCAAAGATCTATTTAATGTTATTTACAACGTGCTGTGGTACCAGCATATGTGTGATTAATATTGAGGATCGTCAGTAGTAAGAAGATCAATGTGCTGCTTCTGAATTCCCTAAAAATCTCTCTGGAGTTATAAAATATTTTGCTCCACTTCTTTAAGAGAATGGTCTTCGAATGTTTCAAAGATGTGCAAAGGAGTTGCTCCGTAAGTCTAGGGAAAGGATTTCTCAAAGTTTCAAACATAAATTCAATTAACTGGCGGGTATTGATTGTTTTGTATCATAAATAACACTTTTTATCACTTTTAACTTTAAATATCTTAAAATATTTTTTAAAAATGTAATATACAATAATTTTTCTCTATTATACTCTCTGATGAGAATTTTTTTTTCAGTAGTTCTTCAAGCAGCTTGTGATACCAAGGATGTGAATTTAAATATTCCAGAATCTTCTAATTTATTGCCTACTCCATCTATTGATAACCTTGAGGAAAATACTATTAAATCGGAAGCAAAAAGGAAATGGAAAGAAGATTCTTTTGATAGTGAAGAAAGGGATCCAACTAAATTAAAGAGATTAAATAATATGGTTCTCAATACTGGTGAGGTTAGTCTGGAACTACTTGGATCATCAAATGACAATTGTCATGATATCTCAAACTTACTATCCATTGTTAAGCCAGAAGCTGAAATAAAGTCTGAAGATCACTTATTTGACTTATCAGAAAATAGAAGTTCTGAAACAAGTAATTCGCTTGTTAAACTGGATCCTAAATCTGAAATTAAAGAGGAAAGTTCTAATTTTAATACAGAGGCTGCACTTTGTAAACCAGATATTTTCTCCAATGTTAATGATATTTGTTTTAGTGACAATAATTGTATAGAAACAGAGTTTAAAGTATCAGTACCTGATGGTATTAAAAGCGATAATAATTTCTGCGATGAACTTAATGCAGACATTAAATCCGATTTCTACTCTCAAAATGATCTTTTATCTCCTGATATCAAGAATGACATTCCTAACCAAATTATTAAATCAGAAATAGATACAGGTTGTGCTTTGTCAAGTGTGTCACAATCACTTCCTGTTGATTCTAAATGTATAAATGAATGTCAGATACCAAAGAATGATGAAGAGCAGAGTGTTGAGAAAACAATTCCGTCAAACTCTGAAGATTGCTTGGAAAAGAAAAAAGACAAAAAAGAAGAAAGTGATAAAAATAGTAAAAAAGATGATAAGAAAAAGAAAAAGTTTGAAAGATGTAATATAAGGTAAGCAGAATTTTTAAATTTGTTGAATTGTTACATTTATTTTGAGAAATTCCGTGGTTACTCTTGTTATATATATATTGTGACGTAGCACTTCTATTTGCTTTCACTTAGAAGCTTTTTATTTTAAATTGCGGAGTAACAAAGAAGAATGTCTATCTTTTATATTTACCCAAGAAAAATATGATTAAGTTTAATCGTTTTGTAGAATGGGGAATTAAAAAAATATGATTACTCTTGTTATCTGAAAAGGACATGAGGCATTTTAAAATTTGCATTAATAATTATGTTATTAAAACTAAATAATTAAATCTTCTTATTTTAAATTATTTCAAGAAGGAAAGGTAAACTTAAGGGATATTTATAAATTTTTTTTTAAATGCAAACACATTATTTATAATGAGAAAAATTACTGGTTAGTCTTTTTAAAAATTTTTTACTTTTGTTATATCGTAAGATATTTACAAAACACATTATGAGTGTAAATAAGTTTGTATTCATGTATTTATTTAATTTCTTCTAGACAAAAATTATTTCCAGAATTAATAAGATGTAGAAAATTCAATTCTTTTAATTTTTTTTTAATAAAATATTTTGTCTTGATTTTTAGGCCATTTCCAGTTTTTGCTTGCAGGAATAATTACATTTATGCAGTTACCAAATTTTAAAACAGTTGAATATGTAAAAATCGTTTTCTTAGAAATTAATTGACTGATTTCGTTCAAATTTTGTATTTTACAATGTAAAATTCTTTTCTTTAAAAGTGATGTAAAATTTTTTTTCAACTAGTGCAGTCTTACCTGTTTATCTCGAATCTCACTGGAAAGGCTAAAAATTTGAGATAAAGAGGTTTCTAGTTATTCAGGTACTTTGAAAATTAAATTTAATTAAGAAATTATATTAAAAGTGCTTTAATTGTTTTTAGTAGAAAAATATAGGCATTTCTGTAAATTAATTATACCACATACATCTATTTACATAAAATTTTTTAGCATACCTTTGACACTGAAAATAATCTTTCAAAGATTTTTGATGTCTAACCTTCTTTGCTTCGATAGTTCTTTTAAGGTTAGAAAGAGCAGCGCATCCCTTATAGCCAAAATTTTTCTAGGATTCAAGAAAAGTTTGGAAGAGCTCTAAAGCTTTTTCTGCCTCTTTTGCACTCACTTTTGTTCATCAATATGGTCATCAGCTTCTTCATCTGATATTCCTTTGACATTATCTAACAAATCTGTAAAAATGCCATTAACTTTTTTAAATTAAACTAACAAAAAGATTTTACATTTTCAGTCATTTTCTTATTCTTATTACCTTAAGTGTAAGGGTAATTCCATATCAAATTAATCAATAAAAAAGTTATTTCTTGGGTCAACAATTCAGATTTAAATTATTTTTAGCAGGTAACACTAAAATTAATTGAAATTTCAACTGACAAGTTGAATTTTAAACAAGTTAACTTTTTCTTTTTATCTTTAGACCTGCTTCTGACATGAAAAATACCAAGCTTCAGATTTTTTGAATCATTTGTTTTTGAGTTTGCAATTTTAAAATTTTTTAGTAGTAACTAGTAACAGTTAACAACAGTTTTTAAACAGTTAACATCAGTTTTTAACAGAACTAATTGACCTAGAGAACTAAATTTTGTATCGTTTTGTTCAGTAATGTTTTTTTTTTATAAAATAAGCAACTTAGCTAAAATCATTTTTAAAAAATAAGTTATTTTAAAAAAAATTAAAATATTTAAATTTTCTGAAAAAAAATTATTTTATTTAACTTTTTATAGCAATATGATGCTACAATCAAATCCCGTTCTAATAAAAATTTCAAGATAATGAATATTTTTCGAATCCCTTGATGAATTTCCATACCGATATTATGAAACATATTATCCGGTTTAATGAAAGTGAAAATAAACAATAAACAACAATTTTTCTTCTTTCCTGATCAAGACACTTTTACCTTTCTTCAAATGAACACTGTGTGCTGAATCAAAATGTTCTTCTTGTAACAGCTTCACAAGTGTTGTCCATTTTGGAAGCTGTAGAGAGATGTTTAGTGGCACAAAAAAAACTTTTTACTTTATTTGAACATGTGCATAATTTGGAGAATGAAAAGAATATTTTAAAAAAAATTTTAGAATTTAAAGAAAGCAAAATTTAAAGAATTGAAACTAAATTACTTTATACTGAACTAAATTACTTTATGCTTGTACTGCTGATTTTTTAAAAAAATTATATTTAGGTTAAGTCGATTTCATCATTTATCTCACACTTTTTGTTTTAAGAATTGAGAATGATTTTTTTAAAAAATTTTTTTTGTTACATTTTTGCTGTTTTGTAACAATGCAGTATTTAAGTATTTTTATGGGCGTTTTTATAATAGTGTGTCATTTTTTAACTCGCTTCTGATAGACCAGTGGTTTCCAACTGGCGTCCCGGGGGCCCCATCCGGCCCGCGCAGCTTTTTTTTGTGGTCCGCAAAACTAAAATATATTAGTTGTCATTTTTTTGCACACAATTTTCGTAAAAAATCTGGATGGGTTTAAAATACTTTTCTCGTTAATAAAAACCTAATTTCTTCGTTTCTGTGAAATTTAACATACCAGCGGTGCAAAAAAATTTATTTCTCAGGTGTTGCATCCAAGAAAATATTTATTCAAATACAAAAATAATCGTGTTTGTTACTCTTTTTTATTTCATTTTTTTGTATTTTGTGAATATAATTTAGCATGTGTGTGCATCAGAAATTTTCTCGAAGAAATTCTCCTATTTAACTTTTTGAAACCACTCATTTTGGACGAAAATATTTACACACACATTTGTACATTTAAAATGTAAATATCTATTCTCTGGTGGTTGCAGCAGACAAGCCTCAATTTTCTCATTAAAAATTTTGTGTGCTACTATGTAAGTTTTAATACGAACCTTTATAAAGTTTTATATCTTAACGAATAGATATCTGTTGTACATTAGTTGTTTAATACATAGGTGCACATTAAAGTTATTGTAGCCCAAATTTTTGAATATGTAATTAAATATTTTTAAAAATCTACTTCTTATTTTAATTTGTAATTCAATACTTTTGTTTTGTACAACTTGGTAAAATTCTGACAGTAATATTTAATGTTCTTTCAAACATAAAAGAGTCCTACATAAAATTTTGATAAAGTTGCGGTCCGCCATTTGATTTGTGTTTTTAATTGTGGCCCCCGGCCTCATGCAAGTTGGAATGGAAACCCCTGTGATAGACTATATCTTTGTTAACGTTTTATGGATACTTTTTTCTGGAAACTATGATTTTTAGAGCTGTGGTGGCTCTGCTCTGGGGATAGAATGCTTGCCTCCCAATGAGGTAAACCGGGTTCGAATCCCAGTGATGGCAGGTCGATATAGATTCCGCACCTGGCTTTCACCATTCACAGTGCTGACGTAAAATATCCTCAGTGGTAGAGGGATCATAGATCAGTTTTTTATTTGTATTAAAAAAATTTTATAGTTAACTATTATAGTTTTTTTTTCTCCCTTTACCCCATTCCAATAATATAACTAGGTTTTGATTCTTTTTTAAAAATGACTAAACTTATTTCTATGTATAAAATAATATTTACTAGTGATTTAATAATTTTCTTTAAAAAAAATGTTGCTACTCAGTTGTTGAATATTCAGTATTCGCCCGAATCACTATTCATTATATCCCTATTCTCAATAAAAATGGTATTCTTATGGGATCACAAAGAAAAATAAATTTATTTTAACAATGACAAATCATTTAGTAAAAACACATGTGCTAGTTTAAAGATTATTTTGGTGGAAAAGTGACATATACATGAAATTACATATTTTATATGAATGTGTCTTCAAGAGATATAGCTCTTTCATCAGGAGTTGGCACTTTGCTCCGCCTTCATCACGTGGTATGCGACGATACTATTTTGCTATTTTTGGGAGAAGGTTGTGAGTAATCCTCAACAAGGTTGCTATTTGGCGATCGTATGGCAAAAATATTTATTTTGCAAACTTTATCTGCATTTTTTTAAATAAATTTGATGACATTTCGCGCCATTTCTTCGAGTGAATAGTTTGTCACTTATTGAGACATTTTGCTGGGAAAGTAGCAGTTTTAAATTTGAAATATATTTAATTAGCTAGAGAAACGAAAGGTATAATAGCAGATGATAAAGTGAAGTGAGTGACTGAAAAAAAAGTCACTGTTTGTGTTTGGCTCGCATTATGGGTTGTCTCAATTTCAAGCGCGGAGATGTTTCTCTTCTTACTCCCTCGCTGAAATTAACTATGTCCGAGGAAGTGGAGCCAAGTGCCAACTCCTGGTGAACGAATTATAGTCTGTGTTATTGAGCAGATAACGAATTCTTTAGACAAAATAATTACAAAACAAAAGAATTATCTTTGTACAATCAAGATTTTTGATCAATCGATCAAACACCTGCATCAGGGAAAGCACCTATGTAACTTTGTTCTCAGAATTATTTTTTATGCCCTTATTGGTGTTGACAGTGATTTTCTATGTTAGTGTTTTTATTTTAACCTTTGAGTTGCCTTGTTTACATTTCTTAATTAGCAGCCAAGGTTTTCAGTTTCCTTAACAAGAAAGTTACCAGAATTTCATCTCTACTGTTCTATAGCTTAAAATGTTTAAAATATTCTAATTTATGAAATATTTTTTAGACTTTTGAAAGGTGCTAATTTTTTATTGTTGGCTGTTATTTTTTTTCTTATAGATTTATAAGTTTGTAAAATTTCCAAAAAATTTTTTGTTTTTCTTTCTCTCACTCTTTTTTTTTTTTTTTTTTTTTTTTTTTTTTTTTTTTTTTTTTTTTTTTTTNTTTTTTTTAAAGACACCATGGTTTTTTTAGTGCTCTTGTTTTTGGCATCCTTAATAAATTTTCTATTGCCGTTTTTAAATAGTTTATAATGTAGCAGTTACAAGTTTCTTAATTGTAAAATTAAGTAAATTTCTTACATTTTTTGAAAATAATTTTTTGTTTAGGGACATCAAACTGGAAGATGAATTAGATGCTGTGACTCTCTCAGCTCAAAAAGAGGAACAAGAACGTATACGAAGACTTCAAGAAGCTCAAATGAGAGCACTTCAGGAAAGATTGCAACAAATTGAAGTTGAAAAGGAAGCTCTTTCACAGCTTTTCAGTCAACCACCTGATAATGCCCCAAGTCTTTTTGATTCAGCTTCAACTACGGACAGTGGATCAATTGATGATGTTAAAGAACCTTTGATCAAATCTGAAAGTGATGTTGTTCTTCTTGAAAGCAGTGATGATGATAAAAAACCAGAGCTTCAAACTGTAATTCCTGCTCCTATTGAAGGTAATTAACTTGTGCTCAATACTTACATATTCTTAGTGCACATCACATTAACCTAAAATTTTACTCAAAATTATTTATCATTTCATTTTCTAAAAACTTTTCTAGAATTCCTATCATTAAGCTATTTTAGACACCAAATCATTAAAGACAGCGTTGTAAAAAATGCTTTTTATAAAGGAGAAAAAAATCTGATTTTTTATTTTTTATTTTTTTCAAATAAGAATTTTTTTTTTGTTGCAACAATTATCAAAATTTTGTGTAATTTATTAATTTAACTTTCTTTAAATTCCACTTTTAAATAAAATTATTTAATTATGATAGACTAATTCATCAAAAAATGATACTGATTGTTGTTTTATTCTAAAGTTTAACAAAGATTGAGTTTTGAAAGACAGAATCTCAATCTGTAAGTTGGTTAATATCAGGAGTAGAGTAGATTACTATGGATGGATAGTGTAAACGATAACAAGATATTTTCTTATTATTGTATTAATCACAATAACTACTCTGCTCAGTTTTGTGTAAGTAAAATAGTGTACAAGTGACTCAAGAAAATTAGAATTTTTTGATGACATATTTCTTTCCGTAGACTTTATTGAATAAGTACTTCAGTCAGGGTTACAAATTAGAATGAAGCTTAGAATGTAACAATCAACCTAAATATTATTTCTTAGTTGCAGAAACAAATCAGTCTAGCGTAATTTTAGAATAATTTTTAGCACAATATTTATTCTTTTTTTATAACTTTTATTAAAATTTTTTTTTTCAGGGTTCATTCTAGGCTTTAAAACAGGCTGCACGAGTAAAACTGAAAATGATCCCCCAAAGAAGGGCACCCAACTCAAAATAGGGCATTTTATTTCACAAAAATTTTCATAACTGTTAAGAATCCCACAGTATGCGATGTCCTTAATTGCAATTCTCAAAGTTCTTAATTCAAAAGAAAAGAAAAATTGTTTAACTTAATTCCTCAGTTAAATTTGCTCATTTTATAAATTGGTTTTAAATTGCATGCAATTCTCAAATTTTAAAATCTTGCATGTCATAATAATAAATTTGTTAAAATTCATGATTTTTAAAACAATGTTGAAATGTCTAGGAAAACAAAATGTAACTGCAATAAATGCTGAAGAAGTTATTGGAAATTTATGATGCAATTTTTGCGAATCGAACACGTAATTGACAGCCAAGATTCTCGCAGAATATCATATTTGTCATGTCAACAACTCAACAATAAAAGAGAAACGAAGTTTCTGAATAAATGAGTTTATTTAAAAACATTAGTAATAAAGAATGTCACAAACAGAGTGACGAAAAGAAAGAATACAAAATGATCTGCTTCAACAGAAGCTTAAATACAGATAGCAGGTGACGTCATGATCCACGCAAGAACGACCAACAGCAAATGAAAATAAACTGGCTGATCCCCGCAGACCATGACGTCACCGACGCAAGTTGAATGCATGAGATCGACGACGGAAAATCGAACCTCATACCTTTTAACTTCTATTATTTGTCTAACAGTAATAAAGAGATTGCTAAAATATGAAATTTACTAGTATGTATTAAAAATATAGGAATTGAAAAAAAGACCTCGCAGAAATAGCAGAAAAATGACAAATAGCAACAAAAAACGGTTCGTAAGTGATATAGATTTATGATGGAATTGTTGCAAGTCGGGCGTGTTAAAAAGTTACTCCTAAAATTCAAATACACGCCTGACTTAATAACATCATATAAAGAGTATCAGAATAAGAAAAAACAAGTGGAAATGGTTGAAAATCGATCCGAAAATCATGTGTATTTATGATGGAATTGTTGCAAGTTGATTGCATCAAGAAGTTATAACTGAAATTCGAAATTCGCATGTTCTAATAACGTGTTAAAAATATTGGATTTTGAAAAACCATGTGGAAAGAAAAATAACAGCTGAACTATAATCCAAGCACGTCAAGTGATGATAGAATAGTCACATATTGAATGTGTCAATAAATAATAACTTTAACTTTGTCAATAATTAAAACGTTATAATAACATTATAGTATTAAAAATATCAGAATTTGAAAAATGATAAATAACAGGCAAAAAAGCTATATTTTATTGACGTGAAATTACGGTGGTATTGTCATGAATTGAACGCATCAAAAAGTGATTACTCAATTTCAAAATTTGCACATCATTATGACATGGTATTAAAAACATTGTAATTTGAAATGCGAAAAGGCGGAAAAAATTATAAATAACTTCTAAAAAACTATCATTAAATTATGTGAAATTAAGATGAAATCATCACAATTTGAATTCTTCAAAAAAGCTAAAATTTGAATGTTGTTACACACCTGCCGATACTCAGATTGTGTGACGTCATTCTCGTAACTTGTCCGTCATACTCCTCATATAAAGTTAGATGGCAAAAATGATGACTGGGTGTAATTTCTAGGTGTCAAATTAAAATTTTTAGGTCTAAATTATAACTAACAACTGCTTTTTTCAAACCCTGACCATAGTACAATGTCCCATATATGGACGTTCCTTTTCCAGAAGGATCAATTTCCCAGACACTTTGTAACAATCAAGATAAACATCTCTTCATCTTCCCCTTTTCTTAAAAGAATAGACTATTTTTTGTGTATTAGCAGTTGTGAGAGAACCAGGTTTAGTAGAGAACACATGTTATCACAATTTAAAGGTTGAATATCGCAATTTGTATTTTAGCTTTTTTAAAATCCAATATCTTAATTCATATTTACGCGATTTTAAAATCCCATATCTCGATTATTTTTCACGCTATTTTAAAATCCAATATCGCGATTCTTGAAGGAAGTAAGTTTTTTCTTGAATCAGTTACTATGAAGATGTGATACTCTTCATTAGTAAGTAATTTAACTAAAACTGTTAGCTCAAAAAATTCTGTTAAATATGAAATGTGTATGATTTATAAGTATATGAATATTTTGATGTCGATATTTTGATTTATGTCATTTTGTTTTTCTCTTTGTGTTATAATTATCCCTGATTGGCTTGTCATGTTTTGCTTTCCAGTTTTTGTTTTTAACAAGTTGGGAGCTATGAGTAAGATGAATATATTCGAACAATTTGAAAAGAGAACACAAAAAGCGTACGATCGATGCTGCTGAAGAAAAAAAGAATAAATTTAAGTTTGATTGATTAATTAAAGCAGACTAAAGATTGTTAGTAACAATCTAATTGAAGATATTGGGGTAAAAATTGGCTACTGTTTTAATTTAAAATAATTGACTGGTGATTAATTTAAACCTATAACATAGTTGCCAAGTGTACAGATTTTATCAGAATGGTTCCGATTTTTATGCCTTGTTCCGATAATACGATTTTGGGTCAAAATGTTCCGATTTTTCATCATAGCGTAATTTTTTCTTTTGCTCTATAAAGCGATCCATGTCCGATTGGCGAAATCCAATCAAGTCGTGTTATCACTTAGCTTCGTCTCTAGCTCCATTCTTATATTTGATGACGTATGTACGGGTCGCTTCACAGACACCAAGAGGAAATTTTAGCTTCCTGACTCCTTGTCTTTTACTTGCAACCGTACCGGTGTTGAATGTTTACTCGGAACGCATCTCTTCGATTTGAGTTTAGCTTTGAATGTTTTTCCACGTGGTAATCTAAAAAAATGTCAAAAATTTGGCGAAGTCAGTGTTTTCGCGGCAATTATAGTGAAGAATTTGATTTCATCAAAAAATCAAGAAAGGGGACATCGTGCACGTTATGTATTTCTTGCAATACAGACATTAGTATAGCATGGCGGAAAGTGTGATATCATTTCACACGGGAAAACAGCCAAGCATGCTACCGTGTATACAAATATGAGAAAGTCAGCAAAAATTTCCGATTTTGTGTCGTCCACTATTGATCTACAATCAAGTAGAAGCGAACTATTGTTTACAGGATTTCTCCTTGAACACAATATTCCGTTAGCTGCTGCGGACCATGCATCAAAGTTGTTTTGTGCGATGTTTCCAAATTCTCAGGAGGTAAAAAAATACTCGTGCGGGAGAACGAAAACTAGTTATTTGGTTCAAAAAGTCGCAAATTATAAATAAGCTGAAGACTAATGTGTTTAACATAGCGACAGATGGGAGCAATGACTCGTCGGATATCCAATTGTGGTCACATTTTTCGATGATGTGTTGGAGTTATTGAGCTGCACTCTCATATCTTTGCCAGTTTTAAATGATTCGAGTCCAGGTCAAAATATTGCCAATCTAATTTGTGCCTTTTTTTCTGAACACAGCATACCATGGGAAAATTGATTATCGTTTTCCTGTGATAATGCAAGGAATATGATGGGGAAAAACAAAGGAGTTGGTGCAAATCTCAAGGAAAATCATTCTAATCTGTTAGTTTTTGGCTGCCTTTGTCATCTGATCAACCTGGTGGCTGAAAAAGGAGCAAAGACTTTGCCCATTTCATTTGATGACCTACTTATAGATATTTATTTTTATTTTCATAGAAGTGGGAAACGAAAGTTAGAATTTAAAAAATTTCAAAAAGAAGGTGGTAAAAAAATTCTAAAACATTGTACGACAAGATGGTTATCATTGGTAAATGTATTACTCGCTTACTTGAACAATGGAGAAGTCTTCTCTTATATTTCAAAGAAGTGTGTTCTGAGAGCAATGTAACTACAGATTTCTCACCAAAAATCTCGGCGTATGTAATACCAAAATTACAGAAGCAACAAACAAATGAAGATGTTCAAACAGAAGGTGAGGGGTCTAAAATAAAAAATACTAAGCGCAAGGTTTCCGATACTGCCCCAGTCTGTACAAAAAAGATGAAATCTGAACAGAAAATGAAGTCAAATGATGGGTTTAAGCAAGGTTTAAAAACAAAAGTTTCTCAGGAGAACTTAAAGAAATTTTTAGGTAGAGATGAAAGAATTTTTCTCGTCCTTAGTTCTAATTTGCATCATTCTTTAGCTTCTAAAAAATGTCATTATCGTTTTTGAAAAATTCAACATATTGTCATAATAATGTGCCCTCATAACAGTCATAACAGTGCCCTCATAATTTGCCATTATTTGAACATGCTGAAGTTGCTGATATGTCTAAAAAAACGGAGAAGACATTTTCATCTGTGAAATATTTTATTGACTTATATCCCTCTATGCTACTTAAAGAAAATTATGAATCATATTTTGATGCAGTTGATACTCTCGAGTCAGAGTTTTTGTCCTATCAGCTTGAAAAATGTCCTGAATCTACTATAAATAATGAAAGAGCTGATAAGCAGTGGGCAGAACTCTTTAAAGAGGAAGGTCCTCTAGGAAAACCAAAATATGCGAGATTATCACGGGTGGGTGATGTTAGGAATTTTGACATTTCCTCACACTAATGCAGCCTGTGAAAAAATTTTTAGTCTAGTGCGAAAAAATAAGACTGAGTTTAGGGGTAACATGAATGCGTCTACTTTGCAGGCAATTTCGATTGCCAAGTCCCAAATGATTCAGCCTTGTTATAGACAAGTGTTTGATGAAAAGTTTTTAAAATCAGCCAAATCTGCTACAACTGTAGCACTTAACAAGAATAATTGATTATTTTTTTATATGTGTTTATTGTCACATATGTTTGAGTAATAATAAAATATTTATTTTTTAACTATGTTTTAAATTACTAAAATCAGCTATCATTTCTGTTCAATTAGTTTGTTGAGTAAGAATAATAATCAGAAATCTTGTCAGTTGATATGTATTATAATCAATAATAATTGTTACATTAAATCTTATACAGTTACAATTATACAAACATTTAGTGTAAAGAAGTAAACTTTAAAGTCGTTCCTATTTTTTACCTGGCAGGTATGCTATAATTGCTAAATTTTCTTTAATATAATAGTGGTCAAAGAATTTTTAAATTATATATAAGAAAAATTAAGATTTCACTGTCTAAATGGTTCTGCAACTTTCAATATTAAAAAGGAAAAAATCTCCCGGCGGAGTTAGAAGTTTTTATATATATCATCGATATCACAGTACAGTAGGGAACCGATTATCCGGAACGATCGGGACCATCGCTATTCCGGATAACTGATTTTTCCGGTTTTCTGAATCGCTACAAAAAGCCGTTTTTTTAATTGTTAAACCCAACTAAAAAAAATAATATTTGGAAATAATCTTAAAAAGAAGAAAAAACGATGAAGTAATACACTAATGATTATTTCCAAAATGATGGTAAGGTAAACATCTTTCAAAAAAGAAAGAAAAATCCTAAAATCTTATGAGGAAAAAAAAATTTTTTTTTTTTAAATGGCTGGAAAATTTATCGAATTTCGTTCCGGTTTTTTGGTTTTCCGGTTTTCTGATTTCCGGATAACGGGTTCTGTACTGTATTATATTGAATTGTAAAAGTTCAGCTTTTTTTTATTTTTGTCCACTTTCGTGCCTGTTTTATTATGCATGCAATGTTTTACGTCATTCAAGAAACTAAAATAAATAAAAAATATATTTTTATCAATTAAAGAAAAAGTTTAAGGAGATAAGATTATTTATGTGATGTGATTTATACTATGCTTATTTTAAAAATGTGTAGTTTTTTTTTGCCTTTTAGGCAATTGGGCATGCGATTCCCCCTTCCTTAATCCATTATTGTTACATTTATTTTATTACAATGTATTTTGGTAAATTATCAAATTTACAAAATACTTAACATTTTTTGTATTTTTTCCCCTTCCCCCCATTTCAATTTGTGTCACTGAGTTGAGGAAAACTACAGATTCTAAGAAAAAATTATAACTTTTCACTTCCACACCCCATTCCAACCTAAAGATTTTCGTCTCACATCTTTTCTCTCGACACATAGGGAGAAAAATTTTCTTTCCCTTCCATCTACTCAATTTAAAAAATAACTGGAATTTCCACATCTTGCCTCAATTGTTTTAGTTCAAAACAGTAGAGAGAGCAATTTATGTTTTCATTTGCAGTAATTTTCTGTAGAAAGGTTGCAATGTCATACACTCTGTACTTGCGAAAAATGTATTTAAAATGTTCAATTGTCATCATATAAGCCGGACCATCGTACACTCCGCACTTCCAATTTTAGCCACTATTAAGAAAAAATCATGTATTTAAAAAAAAAAAAAAAAAAAAAACAGGAAAATTATGGAAGCAAACTCAAAAACTTTCTAACATAAAATGAATAAATTCAAAATTCCACATGCAACTTTAAAAGCACTATGTCATGGTGTAAAAGGAAGTCGAAACTGCTAATGGGCTGTAATTGAATGGATAGGAATGGAAACAAAACAATGCATTGTCTGGCGGGGGTGACCTCATCAATAAGAACAACAAGAATTTTTTTCTCTTTTCTCAACTAATGTGGTTCACCCACCCATTCATTCCTAAGAACAAGAAAGGGATAGAAGCATAACACAACACGTTGATCATGTGGGTCTGTTAAACTCATCACTAAGAATTGTGAGAATTTTTTTTCTTCTCTTTCTTTCTTTTCTTAACAAATGTGTTTCATCCACTAATCGATTCATAAAAACAATTTCTTGTAGTTGTGAGTGTCTTTTGCTCGTCTCTTGATTTTTTTGCTTTGTGCTACCGGTACACATTTTTTCCAAATCTGCTAAACACTAGCAAATATTTAACTATTCTCTGATTGTAAATTAGATCCTTTTGCACATTTGTTGTAGTTGACGTTGTACAGTCCATATTGTAAATCAAAAACTTGTCTTACCCGTCTTATTTTTTAAAAAAAAATATTAGTTGAAAAATGAGAAAAATATATCCTTTTCCAAGCAAATTGATATTAGGCCGCTATTATAAAACATTTTTGTTAACATTTATTTTTGATTAAATTTGCATTGATTGTGAAATGCTTACACAATGCTCGCGGGAAAATGAAATCGTAAGATATGTCGAACATAACGATTGTCTAACTTTTAAATACAGATAGGTCACAGGGTACCTACTCGATATTACTATACAGATAACAATTTTTTTTCTTTCGCTTTCAATATCTTGAATGATATATTTTTATTTTCAAAATTTTTTTTTGGCTTATTCGATATAATTCTGATAATAAAACGTTATTGACCAAGAAATGTTTATTGTTGTCCCCATGACAGAATCACGGCGACATGGTCGCAGAACGTTACCGAGTTCTTGCAGAAAGATTTTTCCTTTGAGAAGTAAAAAATTTATTTTTTCTTTTCTGCAAAAATTTTCAAAAGATTTTATCTTTTCTTCAGAATTATATTCAAAAGGTGCCTTTCTCGTGCATCGGAGTGGAAAAAAATGCTTATGATTTTTCTATTTTCATTTGAGAATAAAGAATAATGAAGTAAAAAATTTGGTTTTCTTTTCTGTGGAAATTTTCGTTCTATTTTTTTCATGCAGTTATTACTACTGATTTACATGTAGCTTTTAAAATCCGATATTTTTAATACGATATTATTTATTGCAAGAACTGAATCTCTAAATGAAAACGAGCATTTAGTAACCCCTTTTTGAAGAGTCCAATTCACTTGATTTCGCCGTCAATCTTCTTTTTCCCGGTAGTTACTGCTACAGAATTCACGATTTTTTAAATTTTTTTAATGTGATGATGAATTACTAAATGCAAAAAAGGAAATAATTAGTTATTTTCCTATAAAATGTGAGAATATCGCCCATAATATTAGAATTAAAAAAATATTACATATTCAATTTAAAAAAATAATTTAATTTGATATGATTTTTTTATTCATTTTTTGAAGTTAACGCTTCTGTTACTTTAAATTAGTAACATGTATATTTGCTATTTTTAAGTATCTTGCAGAAAGATATTAGTATTAGAGAGGTATGTCGCAGAAAGCCCAAAAAAATTCTCTGCCACAGGGATTGTTTTCCCTGTACAAGACTTGTTTTGATCTTCGTTTACATTAAGGGTTTATTATCCAGACTTGCTCATATGGGACTTTGAGCTGTATTCCTACTCTAATTTTAGTTATTATTTATTGAAGTTAAATAAAGCAAGTATTACAATAATATTCATTTAGAATTTTTTAAATCATTTCAGAAAATATAATTGATATATCCAGTTCAAGTTCTGGCAATGACAGTGATAGTGATGATTCTGATAAGAAAGATGATGATATTATGGTTTTAAGTGATGAAGGAGAGGCAGAAGGAGATGGTACTGCTGAAGATCCTAACAATAGTGGAGCACATACAAATGATTGCTTTAATCTTCCAGATGAAGAAGGTCGTGTGCTGATTAATGTTGGACATCCACCAGAAGATCCCGATATATTCTTAGCTCCTCAAATTGCTAAAGTCATCAAGCCTCATCAAGTATTGAATATTTCTAAACTGTTAATTAAATTTTTATTGGTTGAAAGTTATTTTAACCATATTTTTTATCAAGATTTCTATAATTTTCCTTTTATTAGGAGATAAAAAGCTCAACTAAAAACAGTAAATTTTTTATTCTTTTTTGTTAATAAATTCGATTAACTGTCACAATGATCAGTTTTTCCAATTAATGTTAAGACTTAATATAAAACTTATATTTTTCAGATAGGTGGAATAAGATTTCTTTATGATAATGTTGTAGAAAACTTAGAAAGGTACAAATCCTCTAGTGGTTTTGGCTGTATTCTTGCACATAGCATGGGATTAGGAAAAACAGTTCAAGTAATTATAATCCCAATTTCATAATAAATTCCATAACATAGATTATGTTTATATTTCTCATAATTTCACTTTTCTCTTCAGGTTGTCTCATTTGTGGATGTTTTTTTACGACATACACCAGCAACTCTTGTTTTATGTATTGTACCCATTAATACAATTCAAAATTGGAAAGCAGAGTTTGATATGTGGGTTCCTCCTACAAATTCAGTTGATGAAGCTCAGGTCTCAAGTGGCGAAGTGAGACCAAGAGATTATAATGTATTCACATTGAATGAAAATTTCAAAACAATGGCTGCCAGAACTGCCCTCATAGGTAATTAAATTGACATTTTTCACAGTGTTTTCACTACAGCGCGAGAATCTCGCCTATTTTTTTCTTTTCTCGCATTAAAAAATTATTACCTCGAGAAATTCGCGCATTCTATAAATCAATTTCAAAATTCGCGAATTTCTCACATTTTGGAAAAAGCTTCGAATTGCGCTAATTAGAATAAAATCTGTTTCACTTTTCTTCCTGGATCTTTCATTATTTTCAACATTTGCTCCATTATCTAGCTTCTCTATTTACCAGTATTGTTCAGAACCTTTTCGAACAACAGAACACAACCGAACCACGGAACCCCTTTCAGAACACATTTCTCTGCAACCACGTGTTTAC